TAATTTAAAAAACTTTATAGAAACTTTTTTGTTTCATTTTTTGTCCGTAATTCATTTAATTTTTTATCGGCATTGGTGTAAAATAAATCTATCCTTGAATCGAAATCTCAGTTGAATCACAAGTAACCTTCATAGGTGGAATTGTAATAGATGAATCATCCTTGAATCGAAATCTCAGTTCCATATCGTACTGAGAGAGGTTGACATTCAGCTTGTTTTGTAAATCATGGTACATTTTCGCATATGTTGTACTCTCCGTTATAAAAATTGGTATACCACAACGTTTATAGCTTGTCCATATCCATACCAATTGATCTTTCACATCCAATTCGAAGTCACCAAAGAAACAAACTGACATTACAACCATATCTGCAAGACGAAACATATTTTTTAAATAAAATATGTAGTCGAAAATTCGGCTTTTAACATGAATTTCTAAAAAAATAGGCGAAATAGCTGAAATAGTCGGATGTTAACAGCGAGAACAGTCGGCTGGCTGTTTGCTGGCTATTTAAATAGTCGTCCGACTGTTTTTTATCAGATCAATTTTGTCTGAATCGTTCATGTTTAAAAGAATTATCCACATTAACCATCTATATCGAATTAAATTTAACGATTAAAATGTATACTGTGCTAATTCCGTCTGTGAGTTCGTATTAAGGCAGATGATTTGTACATTGGTTACAACTCAATTGACTAACGAACTTAATTACTTAGTTATGTGCATTATGTGGTTATATATCTTTCCATATGGAATGAAATATAGCACATGTTTTCAAGTGTCAGATTCTTAGGTTTTTATTGATTTTGGATAGAACTCTAATAATTAAATGTTGAAATAAAAATGTCACAATACCATTATAAAATCACGTGCAGTGCACATGGACACACCAATCCTATTACGTTCTACTTTTTCGAACATCCTATTAAGTTCTACTTGTCTTAATTCATCAATGCATGTTTGGCGAATTTTAGTTATAAATTAATACATTTTAATATAAATAGTATTTCTTACCTGAAAAATGCTTGTTGTACATAACTTTCTATATAATATTTTACATGATAATAAGACGTCAAAATGTAAGTGAGAAAGTTATTTGATTGATGTGATTTTGATCCAATTAAATTTCATCTCATCACATCATATGTTGATAAACTATTAGATAAGTCGTTATGTACATATAGCACAACCTTTTTTACTTTTTACTTATATTGATAGTAAATTAGAATTATTTTTTAAACCTATTCACTTTGCAATTAAGAATGTGATGCTATTGATTACTCAGAGCGATATGATCC